TTTAATTCTAAGTTAATTTCTTTTCATTAGTACTTTTATAAGTTATAGCTCCCTTATTACTTATTTTCTTTTATTTAGTTTATTATTACTCTTTACTAGAAACTATATACTCTATACCATATATTGCTGAAAGTGATATTCTAGTATTACATAGTACAAATACCATTAAGATTCTTCTATTCTTTCATTTTATTTTTTTAAATTACTAGTAGATAGTGGTAATGACTAAAACTACTAGTTTCCTAGCTACCTAAGTGATACTTATCTCTCTAGTCCTATTATAACATACTGCTAGTTTTAGTATATAGTTTCCTACCTCTTAGCTGCTTATTCTATAACCATTATTCATACTTTTATATATTTTCTTGATAGTGTTCAATACTATATATTTTCTCCTTCTTCTATTCAAATACTTAGTTAAAGTATATCCAATAAAATAGTTTGGACTTCAAGGTCTTCTTAACTTTTTTATCTTTTCTATCTATTTAGTTCTCTAGATATCTTCTTCGTTTTCTTTTCTTCTTACAGTATTCTTCTTAGTAATTATAGCTACATTTTTCTATTAAGTCTCTTTACTAATCTTATATATATATATTTCTGAATTAGTAAGTAGTAATTACCTCTTTTCTAACTATGTTTCTTTAAACTAAGTATTCAAAGTCCAATACTACAGATAGGTGACAGTAAAAAAATGTAATAGAGAAAACGCTAAATCTTGTTTTACTAAATCTTACCTCATAAGATAGCTAGAAATAAGTAGGTCGGTGATTTGAAAACCTAAGATATAGTAGTTTAGCGTAGCGGACACACTTCATGCTTAGTAGGCAGCTAGATAGAGATATATACACGAAAATACAGAGAAGAAATCACTAAAATCTATTACTCTATATTACTTTTTCTTCGTAGTAACTGTTTCTCTAATTCTATGGTATCTTATAATAGTCTATAAAAGCTATGTAATTTTGAAAATTGAGGAACATTTATAAAGTATGTATAAAACTATTCTACTTTTTAGGTTTCATATACTGATACATACGACTAAGCTATAAGAGACTTTTAGGAGTTATAGTTTTAATACATATTTCTTGATATATAAATAACCTAATTATGTATTTTTAGATAAATTTCAAGTTTTTAAAGCTTCTAGAGTATATGTTATTCTACAATCACTTTAATACAAGATATGGACTATTATTGAGTTTTTTAATTATAATATAGAAGTTTTAGGAACTATAAGTAGTTAAGCATTCTCTAATAGGAAACTTTCATATTAATCTATATGAAAAATATTGTTTTTCAGCCTTATTTTATTTACAACATTTTACTAAATTAGATATAGGTTTTAAGAGAGAACACATCATACTATACTATATATAGAAACTTCTTATACACTTAGAATTCTTATAGCTAATATCAAATATTCCCATCTTTTTTTTATCTTTTTAATCACTTTTGGTATTATGTAGTAACTATAGCTAGAAATGTTTGAAGTGTAACATGTTAATATACTGTATAATATATACCTTAACTAGAACTTTATATATACTAGAAGCTATGTTGTTATTAACATATGTTTCGTGAATCTTTTTTCTCTATATTTTCTTTTATATATATCTATATCTAGTTACTTAGTAGGTAAAAGGTAGGTCCACTACCCTAGACTACTACATCCTAGGTTCTTAAATCACCGCCCTACTTATTTCTAGCTATTTTATTGTTTAGGATATATTGGATTTAAGATAAGCGTTTTTTCTATCACGTTCTTTTACTGTCACCACTCAATGAATTATACCAAAAAGAACTTAGCTTTTTAAAACTAGAAAGTTATAGTTATGTCTTAGATTGGTTCCTATAGATTATAGAGCATTATTTACCTCTAGCTATGTAGGTACTTAGTAGCTATATAAGTTCTATTCATAGTAGCCTAATAGTTATTCTAACTATTACTTTAATATATACGCCTATATGATAATATGCATTAGGAGAATATAACACTATATTTTTGTATAATATTATTTTCCATCCTTTTACTTTTTTCTCTGCTTGCTAGTTTTATACTAGTCTCTTAGCACTATCTAACTACATTTTAGCTATTAGGATATACCTCCTAGTTGCTCTAGTACATTCGTATCGTCCTTTAGTCGTCTTTTTTCTAGAATATTATTAATCTTATAGATACTTGTTATAAAAAACCTATTTTCCTCACGTTTTATAGTATAGTAGAAGGCATTCGTGAAAAAAGGCAAGACATAGGGAGAGGGAAAGAAAAAAGGGGATAAAGGTGTAAGTTAGAGGAGTTTTAGACGAAGGTTACGTGTAGGCGGTAGAGTACAAGCTTTAGAAAGTTAAAGAAGGCTATAGATTCTTGAAATACTAGCTATAGTTAGGCTATTTCTTCTTTAATAGTTGTCCCTCTCCTAGAAAGCGTTGCGTCGCTGAACATCCTCTTCTACTTAAGATTTAATAAATAGTTATTGAACTATACTAAAATAAGTATTGTAAGATTGTAAGTTATTAAGTACTTAGCGAGCCATATAATGTAGTTGTAAACTATATCTAATTAAAACTAAAAGCAACGTAAGTACTTGATGTTTATAACATTATCTTATTATATTAAATCTGTCATAATAAGAGAATAGTTAGAAATCTTATAGGTATTAATAAAGAGGGAGAACTAAATATATTTATAAACCTTTCTTTAAACTAACACTTAAAATCCTTTAACTATCATGTTAAACAGTTGTCTTGAGGTAAGAACATAAAGCAAACTAGATATTATATAAGCAATGTAGAATGTAGGAGTAAGAAACCTTAGGCTCTAGTATTTACTAGTAACTATAGAGTAACGCTATAGCTTTTTAAGTAAAAAATAGTAGAAATTTAGAAGTGCTTTCCTTTAAATAAGTATAATTAGATTAAATTCTATAGAGTTATGCTTAGAACTACAAAAGAGAGTATTTTCTTCAGCTTTATTATTCTTCACCCCATTCTCATCTAAATAGTATTTTATAGCTTCTTTAAACCTACTATTTCTTTATACTACTTCTATCTTTTTTATTTAGAAAACTAAATTATTATTTATAAAGTATCTAAGCTTGCTATAGTAGTGGTATTAGCTAGAAGTAACTTGGCGTTCTAGTACTAGTCTCTTTAAAGTAGGCCTAGGCACGCTTAAGGTAGCCTAAGGCACAGTTACAACTAGGTTAGATCTAACTCTATACGTAACTAGGCGTTCTTTTCTTTTACAATTAGAGGTCAGCCTTAATCCTACTATTAGAGTAAAAGTAGTTTATTATTTTAGTAATAGTATAATAAAAGCTAATTTTCTTTCTAGCTTATAAGTCATAAGATATCTAAATATCGTATTCACGCAATCCACACCAACGTCAAGTTTTCTAGAATAGGTGTTATTTTTGTTAAATATATACAAATCCCTTACAAGAAACTAATTACAGCAAGTTTTAAGACGTGCAGCGTGCGCGCTGTGAAGCTATAAGCTATAAGAGTAGATAGTTAAAACACGTCTTACACTTAAAACAAAAACACACAGACTACTCTGCTTAGTAATAAGCGAACCCTAGCAATAGAATGCCACCAGAAAGCAATACTATCGAAGCCTAAGTGCTAGAACAGAGGCAAGAGAGCCTAGGCCCAGAGGCTCAGATCGACAGGGAAATGGACAGAGAGGACCCCTACCCAGCCACTCCTACCCAGCAACCAGCCAGCCAAGAGAGCGTCTTTGAAATCCCAATCCTACCACCAAAAAAGCGCCAAGCCAACTTCTCGCCAGAGGCTGCCTATAGAGGCAGAAACCCCTTCTAGGACTCCTCTACCCCAAAACCAACTGCCAAGAACTCGGAGCAGGCCATCTACTAGGCGAGAGACCTAATTCTCCAAGCGTCAGCTATGGCTAAATCTCATGTGGCCTAAGATAAGCTCCTAGAGTTACTAGACGTCTTTAGAGACTACACTAAGAAAGGCAGAGTAGTAAACTAGTTTGCCAACAAACTGTCTACTAAACTCGCCTATCACTTAGCTACTCTTGCAAACGCCTCCTAACAGGCAACAAAAACACTAAAGAAGGCCACAACTGCAGCTACAATAGTAGCTCTTACTCCTTCCTAACTAACTTAAAAGCCCTAGGCCTTATACGCTACAATCGCAGCTAAGAACACAACAAGCCATCCTTGGATAATAGTATAGCTAAGGAAGAAAGCTAACCTAAAGAAGCCAGCTGCTTACTACTAGATGCTTCTAACGCTAGAAGAAGGCTAGTTAACTAGCTCGCTAATAGTTAGGAATAAAATTAATTAAGCTTTTTAGAAGGCAGGCATAACAGCCCCTATTATTAAAGAGATGTTAGTTAGCAGAAAGAACAACCTAATTATCACAATAACTAAAGGATACTCTAGCGAATTTCTACTACAGCAAATTAACACCTAGTAAAACCAACTCTAAGTTAAAAAGGCCTAACTAATTAAAGCCTAGACTAAGGTAGTAGTCTATAGAGTGCCAACAACGTTCAAAGGAGCCGAATCGCTCTAGGTCCTCTACAACGAGATCCCAACCTACAATAAAGGACAAACTATTGTTGGCAACCCCTACTAGTTAACAAAGAACTAGAAGAGCAAGCAGACTAGCTCTATAGTAGTTGCCTTTAAGACAGAAGAGGAAGCTAAGAAGATAGGCAGTAGGATCACAATCCTAGGCCAGTCTCTCTAAACTAAGAAATACAGGTCCACGCCACCTACAACGCAGTGCTCTAACTGCCAAGCCTTTAGCTATAACGCAAGTAGGTGCTAAAACTAAGCAGCATGCCAGCTGTGTGTAGAAAGCCACACAACTGCTTAGCACAACTGCTTAAGCTATAGCATTAAAGGAAAGCTATACAGACACACTCTCCCTAAGTGCTATAACTGCAAAAAGCCCCACTTCGCTAATAGCAAAGACTGCGAGATCTTTCTAGCTATAACAAAGAGAGGCCCTTAGCAGCCATCTCTATGTTAGAGAATATTAAGATTCTACAAGTGAACCTAAACAAGAGCCTACACGCTATAGAGTTAACGCTACAACTAGTAGTTAAGCTTAAAGTTAATATTATTGCAGTCCAAGAGCCATGGATTGCCCCATTAAGCAACAACAACTACTTAGCAGCTAGGTTAGTTGCCCACCAAGCATTTACCCAGCTGCTCCCACTAGCAGACAACAGTCTCCGCCTAAGGGTTCTATTTTATATATCTAGAACAGCAAAGGCAGAGACATCTCTACTAGAGGGACTAGCAGCAGACCTAGACGCTATAGCAGTAGTTCTTAAAGGGTAGAGCTTTAAGTTTAATATTATAAACGTGTACAACGAAAAAGGTCTACTAGGGACTAAGACGTTCCTAAGAGTCCTCCTAAGCACTAGGCTACCAGCAGCAACAATACTAGCTATTAACGCTAACGAGCATCACCCCTAGTGGGATCCGCTATGCCTAACCACTAGCTAAGGCGCTTAAGAGCTAGCCGACTAGATAGAGGACCGAAACCTAAGCCTACTCAACACCCTAGGCACTAGGACCTTCTTTAGGCCGCACCTATTAAGAGAGCTAGTATTAGACCTATCACTTGCCACGCCAGACATAGCCAACAAAGTTAAAGACTGGCAAGTTACTACAGAAACTAGCTCAGACCACTACGGGCTGCTCTTCTCCATCTAAACAACAACAGAACTAGTAGACAACCTAGCAGCCTAGCAGCCTAGCAGAAGTACAACATAAAAAGGGCTAACTAGCTCCTATTTTAAGAAGAACTAGCAACAGCAATCCAAGGCAACGCAATACTGCAAAGCCTAGACTAGATCAATAGCCCAAGGAAAGCAGACTTAAGAAATCTACTCCTAGGCCAAGACCAACAGCTAAAGCTGCAACTAGAAGCAATTGGAGAAGCAATTACTCTAGTAATACAACAAGCTGCAGATAAAGCTATCCCACAGCTAAGGTAGGGACTAAAGCCTAACCTATAGTAGAGCCAGGAGCTTACTAAGCTAAGAAGAGACGTATCCTATTACTAAAGGATATTCTCGCAAAAGCTAAAAGAGACTTCTATGCAAGAAGCTTACCTATATAAGAAGGACTTTCTAGTAGCGCGAAACACCTACTAAAGGGCCATTAAAGAGGCAAAAAAGAAACACTAGAACGATTTTCTAGAGAGAGAAGACCCACAGTCTATCTTTAAAGCAATGGCATATACAAAGGAGTAGCGAGTAGAGAGAATACCTCCTGTACAAGGAGATGCTCTAGAGACTACGTTTAAAGGAAAGTGCAGAGCCTTTAGAAAGGCGCTGTTCCCTCCGCCTCCAACTACCCAGCCACCTAGCTTCTCGAGCTACAGCGAAGGAAAGTAGGAGTGGCTAATACTATCAATAACTAAACTAGAACAGGCCTGTTCTAGCAAAGTTAAAAGTAGTACACTAGGCCTAGATGCTATTACTCAAGACATCATTACTACCGCCTTTTAAGCCTAACCAAAGACGCTATTTAAAGCTTACTCTCTACTATTCAACTATAGATACCATCTAACCTGCTAGAAAAGAGCTATAGAGGCAATACTCAAGAAACCGTCTAAGCTAGACTATTCTCTCTTAAAGGCCTATAGAGTTATCACACTCTTAAGCGGCCTAGGAAAAGTTATAGAGAGAATTATAGCTAAATAGCTAAGCTGCCTAGCAGAAGTTACAAACCTACTCTATAATTCGTAGATAGGAGGCAGGCTAAAGAAGTCAGCAATAGATGCAGCCCTACTACTAGTACACCAAGTCCAGCACCAGAAGCAGCGAGGATATGTTACCTCTACAGTCTTCTTAGACGTTAAAGGAGCTTTTGACTATGTATCTTACAACTAATTCCTCTAAACGCTAAAAAAGCTAGGCCTCCTAATTAGCCTAATTACCTAGGCCAAATCCTTTCTCTTAGAGAGATCTCTAAGACTCGCCTTTAATAGAAAGATGGAAGAATTTAGTAGTATTAACGCTAGCATTCCATAAGGCAGCCTAGTCTCACCAATCTTCTTTCTTATCTACATTAGAGACCTCTTCCTAGAAGTCTAGAACTTCCAGCTATTATACATCGACGATCTCTCTATTACAGCTTCCTCTACTTCACTAAAGAAGAACGCTAAAGTACTAGAGAGAGAAATTCAAAAACTATTTGCTAAAGGCAAAGAGTTAGCAATTAAGTTTGATGTGGCAAAAACAGAGTTTATCCACTTTACCGCTAAGAAGAAGAGAAAAGAAATAGCCCTTAGGCTACTAAATAACACTATAGTAGAGCCAAAAGACACAG